TGACACAGAAAACAATACAGACTCTAATTCTCTAGCACAGTCTGAAACAGAAAACAATACAGACTCTAATTCTCCAGTACAGTCTGACACAGAAAACAATACAGACTCTAATTCTCTAGTACAGCCTGACACAGAAAACAATACAGACTCTAATTCTCTAGTACCGCCTGACACAGAAAACAATACAGACTCTAATTCTCTAGTACAGTCTGACACAGAAAACAATAGAGACTCTAATTCTCTTGTACAACCTGACACAGAAAACAATACAGACTCTACTGACACAGAAAACAAGACTCTAATTCTCTAGTACAGCCTGACACAGAAAACAATAGAGACTCTAATTCTCTAGTACAGCCTGACACAGAAAACAATACAGACTCTAATTCTTTAGTACAGTCTGACACAGAAAACAATACAGACTCTAATACTTTAGTACAGACTGACACAGAAAAAAATAGAGACTCTAATTCTCTTGTACAGCCTGACACAGAAAACAATACAGACTCTAATACTCTAGTACAGCCTGACACAGAAAACAATACAGAATCGTATTCTCTAGTACAGCCTGACAAAGAAAACAATTCTGACTCTAATTCTCTAGTACAGACTGACAAAGAAAGCAATACCGACTCTAATAATCTAGTACAGTCTAACACAGAAAACAATACAGACTTTAATTCTGTAGCACAGACTGATACAGAAAACAATACAGACTTTAATTCTCTAGTACAGTCTAACACAGAAAACAATACAGACTCTGATTCTCTGGTACAGCCTGACACAGAAAACAATACCGACTCTAATACTTTAGAACCGCCTGACAAAGAATACAATACAGACTCTAATTCTCTAGTACAGTCTGACACAGAAAACAATACACACTGTATTTCTATACTACAACCTGACACAGAAAACAATACAGACTCTAATTCTCTAGTACAGCCTGACACAGAAAACAATACAGACTCTAATTCTCTAGTACAGCCTGACACAGAAAACAATACAGACTCTAATTCTCTAGTACGGCCTGACACAGAAAACAATACAGACTCTAATTCTCTAGTACAGACTGACACAGCAAACAATACCGACTCTAATTCCTAGACACACACAGAAAACAATACCGACTCTAATTCTCTAGTACAGCCTGACACAGAAAACAATACAGACTTTACTATTTTAGTACAACCTGACAAAGAAAACAATACAGACTCGTATTCTCTAGCAGAGCCAGACACAGAAAACAATACAGACTCTAATTCTCTAGTACAGACTGACATAGAAAACAAAAGAGACTAATTCTCTAGTACTGCCTGACACAGAAAACAATACAGACTCTACTACTCTAGTACAGCCTGACACAAAAAACAATACAGACTCTAATACTCTAGTACATCATGACACAGAAAACAATACAAATTCTTATACTCTAGTACCGCCTGAAATAGAAAACAATACAAACTCTACTATTCCCTAGTACAACCTTACAGAAAATAATACAGACTCTAATTCTCTAGTACAGCCTTACACAGATACCAATACCGACTCGAATTCTCTAGAACAACCTTACACAGAAAACAATACAGACTCTAATTCTCTAGCACAGTCTGACACAAAAAACAATACAGACTCTAATACTCTAGTACCGCCTGACACAGAAAACAATACAGACTCTAATTCTCTAGTACAGCCTGACACAGAAAACAATAGAGACTCTAATTCTCTAGTACAGCCTGACACAGAAAACAATACAGACTCTAATTCTCTAGTACCGCCTGACACAGAAAACAATACAGACTCTAATTCTCTAGTACAGCCTGACACAGAAAACAATACAGACTCTAATTCTCTAGTACAGCCTGACACAGAAAACAATACAGACTCTAATTCTCTAGTACAGCTTGACACAGAAAAAAATACAGACTCTAATTCTCTAGTACAGCTTGACACAGAAAACAATACAGACTCTAATTCTCTAGTACAGCCTGACACAGAAAACAATACAGACTCTAATTCTCTAGTACAGCCTGACACAGAAAACAATACAGACTCTAATTCTCTAGTACAACCTGACAAAAAAAAACAATACAGACTCTAATTCTCTAGTACCGCCTGACACAGAAAACAATACAGACTCTAATTCTCTAGTACAGGCTGACAAAAAAAAAAAAAAAACAATACAGACTCTAATTCTCTAGTACCGCCTGACACAGAAAACAATACAGACTCTAATTCTCTAGTACAGTCTGACACAGAAAACAATACAGACTCTAATTCTCTAGTACAGCCTGACACAGAAAACAATACAGACTCTAATTTTCCAGTACAGCCTGACAGAGAAAACAATACAGACTCTAATATATTAATGAAGCCTGATACAGAAAACAATACAGACTCTAAATCTCTAATACAGCCTGACACAGAAAACAATACCGACTCTACTATTTTAGTACAGTCTGACACAGAAAATAATACAGTCTGACACAGAAAACAATACAGACTCTAATTCTCTAGTACAGCCTGACACAGAAAACAATACAGACTCTAATTCTCTAGTACAGTCTGACACAGAAAACAATACAGACTCTAATTCTCTAGTACAGCCTGACACAGAAAACAATACAGACTCTAATTCTCTAGTACAGCCTGACACAGAAAACAATACAGACTCTAATACTTTAATAAAGCCTGATACAGAAAACAATACAGACTCTTATTATCTAGTACAGTCTGACACGGAAAACAATACAGACTCTAATTCTCTAGTACAGCCTGACACAGAAAACAATACAGACTCTAATTCTCTAGTACAGCCTGACACAGAAAACAATACAGACTCTAATACTTAGCCTGACACAGAAAACAATACAGTATACAGCCTGACACAGAAAACAATACAAAATCGTATTCCCTAGCACAACCTGGAACAGAAAACAATACAGACTCTAATTCTCTAGTACAGCCTGACACAGAAAACAATACAGACTCTAATTCTCTAGTACAGCCTGACACAGAAAACAATACACGCTCGAATTTTAAAGTACAGCCAGACACAGAAAACAATAGAGACTCTAATTCTCTAGTACAGCCAGACACAGAAAACAATAGAGACTCTAATTCTCTAGTACAACCTGACACAGAAAACAATACAGAATCTAATTCTCTACTACAGCCTGACACAGAAAACAATACAGACTCTAATTCTCTAGTACAGACTGACACAGAAAACAATACAGACTCTAATTCTCTAGTACAGCCTGACACAGAAAACAATACAGACTCTAATTCTCTAGTACAGCCTGACACAGAAAACAATACAGACTCTAATTCTCTAGTACAGCCTGACACAGAAAACAATACAGACTCTAATTCTCTAGTACAGCCTGACACAGAAAACAATACAGACTCTAATTCTCTAGTACAGCCTGACACAGAAAACATACCGACTCGTAATTCTCTAGTACAGCCTGACACAGAAAACAATACAGACTCTAATTCTCTAGTACAGCCTGACACAGAAAACAATACAGACTCTAATTCTCTGAGTACAGACTCTGACACAGCCTGACACAGAAAACAATACAGACTCTAATTCTCTAGTACCGCCTGACACAGAAAACAATACAGACTCTAATTCTTTAGTACAGTCTGACACAGAAAACAATACAGACTCTAATACTTTAGTACAGACTGACACAGAAAAAAATAGAGACTCTAATTCTCTTGTACAGCCTGACACAGAAAACAATACAGACTCTAATTCTCTAGTACAGCCTGACACAGAAAACAATACAGACTCTAATACTCTAGTACAGCCTGACACAGAAAACAATACAGACTCTAATTCTCTAGTACAGCCTGACACAGAAAACAATACAGACTCTAATACTCTAGTACAGCCTGACACAGAAAACAATACAGACTCCAATTCTCTAGTACAGTCTGACTCAGAAAACAGTACACACTCTAATACTCTAGTACAGCATGACACAGAAAACAAAATAGACTCTAATTCTCTAGTACAGCCTAACACAGAAAACAATACAGTCTCTAATTCTCTAGTACAGCCTGACACAGAAAACAATACAGACTCTAATTCTTTAGTACAGCCTGACACAGAAAACAATACAGACTCTAATACTCTAGTACAGCATGACACAGAAAACAAAATAGACACTAATTCTCAAGTACAGCCTAACACAGAAAACAATACAGTCTCTAATTCTCTAGTACAGCCTGACACATAAAGCAATACTGACTCTAATACTCTAGTAAAGCCTGACACAGAAAACAATACAGACTCCAATTCTCTAGTACAGTCTGACACAGAAAACATTTCAAATATTGGGCCCTGTTCCTCCAACCCCTGGGGCCAAAATCCACTAACTAACAGAACTGATTTACCTTTAACCTAAGATTACTTAAGCCCAAAAGTTGGGCAAAAAATCAATCATCCCTACAAGGGAAGTAGGATTTTCCCTTTTTTCCCCTATTGGACCCCAACCAATAGGGCTGAAATCTGCCATTTATACAGAATTCATTCCCCTTCTCCCAAGAATGCTTCCGATAAAATTTGGCAAAATCCCATCATTCCTACAGGAGGTGTAGGGTTTTACTTGATTTTCCCCATTACACTCCACTACTCTAACCCCAGGTGGCCAAGACCCAGTTTTAGTCAAAACAGATTCCCCTCATTTAAGTATGCTTCAGACCAAATTTGGATAAAATCCAATCATTCTTACAGGAGAAGTATGATTTAAAAAATTTGCTGAATTTCCTCTATTTGGTCCTAGCCTCTCAGGCCCCAGGGTTAGACTCACACTTTATACAAAATCAAGTCCCCTTCCACCTTCTGACCAAATCAATATCTGCTCAATCGTTCATAGCTATTTTCACAAAAAGTTGACAGATGGATGCCAGAAGCTCCATTTAGGTGTATGCAGGTGTGTTATGAAAACCTTGTGGAGTTGCTAGTGAACATAAAACACAAAACAGTGTGGTGGGCTACTTTTATTGAAACAGCACTTTCAGTCATAAATCTTACACAAATATTCAAACTTTCATACCTGCTGTTCTGAACATCCTTACACACACACTCAAGCTCATGTGCACACTCTCCAATCACAACCTTCATTACATTGTAAAGTAATTGCTCTCATAGTTCCATGTGCCAACAATAGTAAATAAGGATAGGAACCTGGCACAAGATTCAAATTTCATATTAGTCCATAAATAATCTGATGATACACTCTACCTTGATGTGACCTAATTGTCGCTGTTATCACACAGTGTTTGTACCAGAATTTTCTTAAAAACATGAACACAATTAAGACATACCATTTCTCAGATATCTGACTTAAACATGCTTTAGGAAACTATTGTTGCTCCGGGCTGTTGATATTGACACAATGAAAAATACAAATTGTTTAATGACACTTTTTTTGGCCCTAACACATGGAATTCAGTGCCATTAATTGAACACATTTCAGAGTACTTGGTGCCAGCAAGTTATCAGCTAATTATTCTTCTACATCTTGTATACTAAGAAGTGGTATTTTACAGTTCACATTTAGGGAGGTCATGGTAATCAATTTAAACAAACTGTTCTACATTTCCTTATGAAACTGACCATTACAAATATTCTTAAAACTATGTATAACAAGCTTAAAAAATACACCCGTCCTAAGTTGAGCAACCATAACTGGATGAATTTCAGGCAGAAACTTTTTTTGTAATAAACCTAGTTATTGAGTTATTGTGGGGAAACCTATTTTGCAAATGCACCAAGGGCCATAACTGTAATCATGGGCGATAATTTTTGCTTATCAAACTTGACCTGGCTTTTATGGTAATAACATTCATGTGAAGTTTCCAATTAATCTGTAAAATGTTATTCAAGTTATCGAACGGAAACCTAGGTGTGGCCACCTGCCCCCGTGAAAACATAATAAGTCCCGTCTATCGATGGGTGTATAAAAATGACAATTTTCAGCTTTTACAAAGCAATAACAAATTTTTAGTCAATAGTTTGTTCAACATTCACAAATGTAATGGATTTTAAAGCATAAGAAATTATCATGCATCACCAATAAAATGGAAACAGTTTGATAATTTCATGATCAAATTGAAGTACTTGAAAACCATTAAATTTCATGAGGGATTAAAATAGGGGAATTCATATATGCACCCACTAGGTAGCTAAATAAACCGGATCTATTGAGCTACATTTCTCAACAGAATTTACTGTCAAAGAAATAGCAACATCTTCATAGAAATCATGATAATTGAGCCACACAGAATTTTGATAATTTTGGTTTTAACAAAGAAATTGTAACAATTGTTAAAAAACCACTGAGATAACAGAAAATGTTCTTAAAAAATAATGACACAAATTTGTTGATATTTCCGACATCCAACACATGACCTGGTCCCTACTTTTAACAACTGCCTTACTAACAATACATCAATACATTTGTAATTTGAAACATGATCTAGCTGAAAGGCATTCTAATATCTCAAACCTGGACAGTCAACTCAAAGATGTTATTACTTTAACACCTGATGAAAAATTAGCTATATAAGAACACAAAGCTAACCTCATTAACCTTCCCCAAGGTCAGTTGGAGTAATAAGTATCCTAAGAATGCATAACTATTAAAAGTGAAATATGTGAGAATTATGACCTGAAGAATTCTGCTTAACCACAGCTAAAAATACTTGGTCAATCCAACATAACATATGATCCAGTGTTTGTGGGACAGACTAGGAATTAACATTGTTACATACAGGAGTCCTTAAGTTGACCTAAGTAATATTAACAATACAACCTTATTTCTGTACCGGGCAATGGTAGAGAGGCGGTTTTCCCTCAACATTTCTTGAGGTAAGCTATAAAAGATCGAGCACAGAGTGACTAATGGTATATTTCAAAACCTTTCTTCTGATTTATCAATTTTCAAATAAAAATCCAGATTTTTGTTATAAAAGTTGATAGAAAACTTAAAAATAAAGAGATGAAAACAAGAAATATATGAAGATAAAAATCCATTTTACAAGACTAGAAATATGAAGCCCCCTCCTTTTCTGTACATGTGGAATGCACATCTAAAGTACATGTATAAATATGTGTGAAATATACACATACAGACCACACATTTCAAAACATTTTTCTGCGTTGGAAAAAATTTATTATTATGCATGTAAACCTGTGAAGTGTTGTGAGTGATGGTCGCTGACATATGCACCAGTCATTTTCCTCTGATCAGTGACCGACAATTCTCAACAAAGAGAATATCTTACACAGGACAGATCATGGAATTTGACACCAAAGGCTTTGTGAGAACTGATCACCTGTCTGATGACATACAAAACATACACATACTCATTATAATGAATGTCATTGCTGGTACCATATAAAACATTATATTCATTATTTTAATCAAATAAAATGTTATGTGTATGTTCAACATCTTGGGGATTTCTTCCATAATTTTCCCAGGGGATTCCCCAACTCATTTTCCAGAGGGGTTTCCCTCAACTATTTTCAATATTTTCTACCGGCCTTCATTATTACCTAATTTCCTTCCCAATAAACTCCTGACTAACTGAAGATGTCCTACCATTCTGTGTTTTCCTAATGTTCCCCCAATTTTACAGTGAACTGATAGTGATGCTAAAATTGACAGGAAAATCTATCTTTAATCCCCCATCCCCAACATATCAAATGATCACACAATGAGCCATGCCTAGTTCAACAGGCTGGTTATAGTATCTAGTAGAGAAACACTGTCAGGTCTGCAATATCTTGGTTTAGAGTGTTGGCCCAGGTAACCTCAGGTGAAGACCTGATGTTCGTGGTTCGACACTCATGCCAATGACAGCTTGTTTTATGCGAGAAGCTGAGAAACAGGCAAGACACTTTACCCTAATTACTCTGGATAGCATGTGATGGGTCTCCCTTATGGTGTTCAGTTAAGTAGCCACCTGCTGATACAAGGAGTCCCTGCCTCAAAATGACATTGGCTGTTCAGAGGGGCAACACACCCAACAAGCAACACAAGACACTAGGAATAACACCGATAAAATATGGACATTGTTCACTCATTAACAAGGACAACAGTATTAAACAAATTCCTCAATTTAAATTCCTACAACAATGATAGACTTTGAATTAGCGCTTCACTTTCAGTCCTACAGTGCAGACAAAAGAACATTTCCAAAATTTGTGCTTTTCACAGTTAACCACCCACCTCATTTATATATGGTTTGATAAAGTACTGCTATGGAAAGGTGAACAAGCTGCCAAGAAAACAAATTTCCAGTTCATAAACCAATGCCTACTCAAACCAAGACAATCCTTGACCGGATTCGATGAAAGTAACTAATTTCCTGATTGCACCTATTAAACATAACACATTAACAGCCTTGCTAGAAGAAATCTGCTGCACATCTCCAGTTGTGTACCTTGTGAATGTGGTGAGCAGGTAAAGAACACATTTGATCATTGCAAGGCCAAAAGCCTTAGTCAGCAGAACGGCGAGGCCGTCGGGTCCATTGTCTTAAAGAAATCCTTCATTTGGGGTTCTAATGCATTAGGTGTGACAAAAGGGGGAAGCTCTATGGTAGTGGGTAAGCCAATTTCCTTGTCAGGGGGTTGAGGGGGTAGGGGGCTGGAATCAACATTAGGAGAAGAACCACCTTCAGTATTTATAGTCCTAGGATCAAGTTTGCCTTTAACAATTAGGCGATTGTCAGTTTTGTGTTTAGCACTGTCCGTAGGTGGGGGTCGCTGATAGCTATTGTAACCAGATTCCCCCTTATCCTCACTGTCGAGCCCCAGGGGAGAACTGTAGTCCATGCTACTCTTTCGCTGCCCTGTGTATCTCTTATGAGCCACCGATTCACTAGCGGGTTTCCGTTTAAATCGTGGGTCATTTCTATAATCAAGCTTTGGCTTTGTATCTAATTCTTCTGTTTTCTTGTTTTCAGTGTCACTACTAGTCTGCCCAGTACTATCCCCTAGTAGAGGACGCCTGGGGTCGAGAGTCACAAGTTTCCTAGGGTCAGCCCCAACCGACCCTTGTCTCTGCAAGGAACGTGGATCAGTAAGCCGTTGATGTTCCATATCAGCAACAGAATGCACATCTTGTAAAACTTTCCTGGGATCAGAATTTGTTCTTGGATCTTTAAGTCCCATTCTAGGGTCTTGTGGACCCAAACGTGGATCTTGTGAACCCATTCTAGGGTCTTGTGGACCCATACGTGGATCTTGTGAACCCATTCTAGGGTCTTGTGGACCCATACGTGGGTCTTGTGAACCCATTCTAGGGTCTTGTGGACCCATTTTTGGACCCTGTGGACCCATTCTAGGATCTTGTGGTCCCATACGTGGATCTTGTGAACCCATTCTAGGATCTTGTGGACCCATTTTAGGACCCTGAGGACCCATTCTGGGGTCCTGTGGACCCATTCTAGGATCTTGACCCATTCTAGGATCTGACTGACCCATCCTAGGGTCTTGTGGACCCATTCTAGGGTCTTGCAGGCCCATTCTAGGATCTGGTGGACACATTCTAGGATCTTGAGGACCCATTCGCGGATCTTGAGGACCCATTCGCGGATCTTGTGGAGGCTTTCTAGGATCTTGTGAAGTCAAACGAGCATCAACTGATCTTGACATGGTGTCAGGCATCATGCCATTGGAGCTTGCAAATGTTTGTCCAGTCATCTGGCGACCTAGCCTTGGATCTGGAGGGTTACCATCCCGACTTATTTGTCTTGCCATCCTTGGGTCCAATGGCTTCTGAATGTCTTGGCGTTTGTTCATGCCAATATTAAGTAATTGCCCACGTTCTGATCCCTGGAAGCGAGGGTCTATTGAACGGGGCCCTTCTGCAGTATCTACACGAGGTTTTACCCTTGGATCCATGCGTCGGTCACTAGGTTGCACTGTGCGAGGGTCAAGCTTCGGAGTGCCTTCTAAAGGATCTGGCCCTAGTTGGGGTCTAGAGCCAACAGGCTTCACAGGTTTGGCAGCTTTCTGAGGCAGTGATTCCAAATAAAGATAGAATTTTTTAATACGAGGATCATTTTTAAACTGTGCGTTATGCACATCCATTCCTTGAGGGGGTTTGTTCTGTTGTGACTTGTCCACCGTAATTGGTCGGAGTTTATATGGAATGTCGCCCTCAGTAGAGTTGATGATGACAGGATCAGGGATGGATTTAGGACTGCTGTTTGTGGCCTGAGCAGGCATTGATGAATCCTTAGGAAAAGTTGGAGGGTTACTGTTGGTTGGTATACTGTAATACAAATTTAAGATTTATTGTAATTTCAGGAAAAATATATATAATACAAACAAGAAGCCCAGGGACCTTAATGGTCACCTGGGTCACAAAGGTTTTTGTAACATGTCATAGAAATGATTTTGTTAAAAAAGTATTATAACTTTAACTTTATTGTACACATAATAAAATGTAAATTGTGTATAATGGTAAAACACAGATATTCATTTATCAGAGGCACTCCAGAGAAATGTTTGTGGCTTAAAACAACTACTACTTTTAGGTTCAAGAGGACTTACTCAGGAGTGCCAACAGTTGTGATGCTAGCCTGCGTACGAATACTGTTAATCATTTGCATGATGTCAAGTGTAGATGACTGCGATAAGTTAGAAGGAACAGGTGTTTGAGGACTCTCTGGTGTTGGCTGTAAACAGACACAGTCTTATTGTACAAATCGAAATATTACCTCCTATATTAGGTCAAACAAATGTAACTTCTCAAAAGAGAAACAAATTTTACAAAAGAAATATAGACAACAGACAAACTGTCAAACATGAGTTTGGGATTGAAGCATTATTATTATATTTCCGAGATAAATGAAATTTTCAATGTGTCAATTCTAACATTACATCTAGACTTTTGAATTAAAGATTTGATCTTAATGCCATTTATATGATCTTTATAGGTTTTCCCTTCTTTTTCTTCTGTCCTTTGACCTTTCTTTTAATTATACGAAATCTGAAAATTCCTCTAAAGAAATAGTGATGGTAATTTTAAACTGTCAAATACAAGATGCTCGCATGTCAGCCATATTTTTTTCTGATCAGTTTAGCCATGCTGTGAAAGTACAGAATATTTTTCTACCAAGTGTTTTCACAGTAGAGCTGTTGTGACCTACTTTTTGCGACAGGTTTTTGAGGATGTCTGTAAGTTTAGGTTTGGAAGCTAGCACATCTTCTTCATCACTTGAGTACCAGTTGTCATCATCCACTACAAGACATAGTAATAAACAGTATAATTTCACATCAAGTATCTTTTTTTATCTAAATATTCCAGGTATTCGTTGCACAACATCAGAAATAGAAAGTGTGATATCAGTTACATTAAAAAATCAAACTTTCACAGTAAAGAATTAAAATTCCCCACATTTGAAGCATTCTCACAATGCTTTGTTGAACAACCAACCTGATAGGTCACAGAATTAAAATTCCCAATAATTGAAACATTCTCACGTAGTATGTTGGACAATCAAACTGATAGGTCACAGTAAAGAATTAAATTCACAACATATGAAACATTGTCACCAAGTTTGGTGAACAATAATCTTCAACAAGTAATTACTTGTACATCAAAGTAAGAGAAAAGGCCCACTCTGGTTTGGTTGGGGGAATTTAATTTAGAGTAAAATCTCCTATCAAGCTTCACTATTTGTACAATTCTGCATTCCAATCACCTCAGGATGTTACCTGCCTAATATGTGTGATAACCTGTCTTTCAGCCTCACCATCTGTACAAGTTTGAATCTACGCCACATAGGAACGTTACCTGTCCAATATGTGTGATAACAAGGAAATACTGCAAAGTTTCCTCCGACTCTCAATCCCTTTGGGGTCAGACCCACCATTTGTACAATTTAGAATCCTTACCATTTGGGAATGCTTACTGTGAAATTTGACAGAAAATTAGCGGTTAAATAGAAGTTACTTAAGATTTGTTTAAAGGATAATGACTGTTGCATATGTATAAGAATCAATATCTTACTTTTCTCATCTGGAATCTTATCAATTTTGTCCTCATTTTCTGTCTGTGTGTCTTTCGCTCCATCTCCCTGCTGGTTCTGTATACGGAGGAAGAGCTCACGCTGTTTAGCAGGAAGGTGAGTCAATGTGTCAAGGTTGAGTCCAAGGGTAGATAACTTTCTCTCGTTAGTTTCCTCTTCAGCAGCTGTCATCTCTGACCCCGCTTTATCAGGCTCAGTTTCCGATTGTTCTGTTTTCACCAAGTCTGCATCATATTTGATATGTTTGTGACTTAATAAATTTATTTAGTCAGTTTAAGTAAACAAGACTGGTTGAGTACTACAATGTATTTTCATGTCTCGCCAGGTTTTGGGTCACATAAATGCTACAGCCTGAATTTGAAGGCAAACCTTGTCAGCATTAAATGGTAAAATATTGTGATATTTTCTTAAAACTTTAGATATTCCTGAATTGTTTTATTCTAAAGAAATAAAAAAAATCATCTTGCCAAACAAAATCATTTATCTTCGACTGTAAAACAGGGCAATAACATTGTTCAGGAAAAATCTCGTCAAAAAATTTGTCAAAAATGATTGACCATTCTGATCTGACTGACAATATTACTGATCTTTCTCACCAAACTGACAAAACTTATTCATCTTTCTCATCCAACTGACAAAAAACTGGTCCAGTCTCTTTAGTTGCAATTAAGACCTTATCTCAAAAATTATCTATTTATCTCACATACATGTACAGCAGAACATGGATAAGTTGAAGGGACCAAATGAAATATTTGATTTATCCAATGGTTCAACTAAGCTGTATTTCTATGAATGGAGACATTTTGCATTGTTGATTGACCCAATTTTTATCGGTTATTTACCTGAAACATTTTTTATAGCACGGCTTAAAGCAGTGAATAAGTAATAAATAAATAAAGACTTTATATCTTTAAGAGTAACAAGTCCCGTCAACAATATTTGAAAATAAAACTCAATAAATACGTACTCATGAACATTTTACACTGATGTAACATCGATAGCAATGAGATAGGTTACGAAAAGGTGAAGGCCCCAGCTGCATCACAGAAGTATAACTTTACATTTACAGTACCCTAAGAGCGTAACAGTAAAATAGAATAAAATAAAACTTGACCAGCGCCTTAATTAATGATCATGTCTATTTTGAACCCAGTTTTTAAATTATACCTGTTCTTGTTTCAAATAATCTAAGATTGTCCAAAAGTACAAGGAAGGAAAACATGAGCTATTCGGTAATAAATTTACCTACAAGCCCAAATATTAATGACACATTCTGTTCTATATTGTCCCATTAAAATGATATACATATAGCAAGAATGTTACATTATTTGCTAATTTTTGCGGTGAAAAATGTCTAATATTTTAAAATCAGTGAGCAGTGTAAATCGTACAAAACTAGGTACTGGTTTCAACAACTTGGTTAAATCCTTTCAGCACTGGGTATTCTCCTGCCTTAGTTAAATACTGTTAGTGAAATTGAAACTGATTTCTACACAATATTGTTGAAGTTGTAAGATGTATTTACCGTTCATATTGCGGCCACTATCCTCAACTTTCGCGTCGGCTATGGTGCTAGTGATATCCTCTCCACTCTTGTCATCAATTTGCTGACTGGCAGGGGCGGGACTGGGCTCATGAGGGGGGCTCATGACTTTCTCACCAGAAGGGCCATGGATTCCTTGTTGGGGGTTGAAGGGTCCGGTCTGGTTAGTGCCTTGCGGTTGCGAAGACATGTTTTGCAATGGTCCAGGTGTTGCCATGTTTTGTAGTCCAGGGGTTCCCATGTTCTGGGGTCCAGGAGGTCTCATATTTTGTGGTCCAGGTGGTCCTCTGTTTTGTTGGAGGACCTGAGGAGCAGCCTGTCGTAAAAGGGCACCAACAAGAGCTACTGCTGGGTTCATAGTAGCAGAAGAAACAGGTGGGTTCTGCATTGGAGGACCCTGCATATGAGGTCTAGGCATTGGTGGGCCCTGCATGGAAGGCATAGGAGGCCCCTGCATGAGAGGGCCAGACATTGGGGGCCCATGTGGATGAGGTCCAGGCATAGGTGGGCCCTGTTGACGAGGCCCTGGCATTGGAGGTACCTGCTGATGAGGACCTGGGGGTCCTTGCTGATGAGGCCCGGACATTGGAGGTCCTTGCTGGTGGGGACCATGCATGGGTGGACCCTGTTGGTTTGGTCCTGACATCTGTGGACCTTGCTGATGAGACATATGTGGTCCCTGCATTGGAGGAGGCTGATTCATGTCTGTGTAGAATCCACTGGGCCTGAAAAGGAAATGTCCTCAGTATCAGTTATAGTCACCGTATCACCAGTGTCTGTATAGGGGCTATTGTTGTATGTCCTCAGTATCAGTTATAGTCACCGTATCACCAGTGTTTGTATAGGGGCTATTGTTGTATGTCCTCAGTATCAGTTATAGTCACCGTATCACCAGTGTCTGTATAGGGGCTATTGTTGTATGTCCTCAGTATCAGTTATAGTCACCGTATCACCAGTGTTTGTATAGGGGCTATTGTTGTATGTCCTCAGTATCAGTTATAGTCACCGTATCACCAGTGTCTGTATAGGGGCTATTGTTGTATGTCCTCAGTATCAGTTATAGTCACCGTATCACCAGTGTTTGTATAAGGGCTATTGTTGTATGTCCTCAGTATCAGTTATAGTCACCGTATCACCAGTGTCTGTATAGGGGCTATTGTTGTATGTCCTCAGTATCAGTTATAGTCACTGTATCAGTTATAGTCACGGTATCACCAGTGTCTGTATAGGGGCTATTGTTGTATGTCCTCAGTATCAGTTATAGTCACCGTATCACCAGTGTCTGTATAGGGGCTATTGTTGTATGTCCTCAGTATCAGTTATTGTCAACGTATCACCAGTGTCTGTATAGGGGCTATTGTTGTTTGTCCTCAGTATCAGTTATAGTCACTGTATCACCAGTGTCTGTATAGGGGCTATTGTTGAATGTCCTCAGTATCAGTTATAGTCACGGTATCACCAGTGTCTGTATAGGGGCTATTGTTGAATGTCCTCAGTATCAGTTATTGTCACCGTATCACCAGTGTCTGTATAGGGGCTATTGTTGTATGTCCTCAGTATCAGTTATAGTCACTGTATCAGTTATAGTCACCGTATCACCAGTGTCTGTATAGGGGCTATTGTTGTATGTCCTCAGTATCAGTTATAGTCACCGTATCACCAGTGTCTGTATAGGGACTATTGTTGTATGTCCTCAGTATCAGTTATTATCACCGTATCACCAGTGTCTGTATAGGGGCTATTGTTGTATGTCCTCAGCATCAGTTAAAGTCACTGTATCAGTTATAGTCACGGTATCACCAGTGTCTGTATCGGGGCTATTGTTGTATGTCCTCAGTATCAGTTATTGTAACCATATCACCAGTGTCTGTATAGGGGCTATTATTGTATGTCCTCAGTATCAGTTATAGTCACCGTATCACCAGTGTCTGTATAGGAGCTATTGTTGTATGTCCTCAGTATCAGTTATAGTCACCGTATCACCAGTGTCTGTATGGGAGCTATTGTTGTATGTCCTCAGTATCAGTTATAGTCACAGTATCACCAGTGTCTGTATGGGAGCTATTGTTGTATGTCCTCAGTATCAGTTATAGTCACAGTATCACCAGTGTCTGTATGGGAGCTATTGTTGTATGTCCTCAGTATCAGTTATAGTCAACGTTTCACCAGTGTCTGTATGGGAGCTATTGTTGTATGTCCTCAGTATCAGTTATAGTCACTGTATCACCAGTGTTTGATTAGGGGCTATTGTTGTATGTCCTCAGTATCAGTTATTGTCACCGTATCACCAGTGTCTGTATAAGGGCTATTGTTGTATGTCCTCAGTATCATTTATAGTCACCGTATCACCAGTGTCTGTATAGGGGCTATTGTTGTATGTCCTCAGTATCAGTTATAGTCACCGTATCACCAGTGTCTGTATAGGGGCTATTGTTGTATGTCCTCAGTATCAGTTATAGTCACCGTATCACCAGTGTCTGTATAGGGGCTATTGTTGTATGTCCTCAGTATCAGTTATTGTCACCGTATCACCAGTGTCTGTATAGGGGCTATTGTTGTATGTCCTCAGTATCAGTTATAGTCACCGTATCACCAGTGTTTGTATGGGAGCTATTGTTGTATGTCCTCAGTATCAGTTATTGTCACCGTATCACCAGTGTCTGTATGTATTGTTGTATGTCCTCAGTATCAGTTATTGTCAACGTATCACCAGTGTCTGTATAGGGGCTATTGTTGTTTGTCCTCAGTATCAGTTACAGTCACCGTATCACCAGTGTCTGTATAGGGGCTATTGTTGTATGTCCTCAGTATCAGTTATAGTCACCGTATCACCAGTGTCTGTATAGGGGCTATTGTTGTATGTCCTCAGTATCAGTTATTGTCACCGTATCACCAGTGTCTGTATAGGGGCTATTGTTGTATGTCCTCAGTATCAGTTATAGTCACTGTATCAGTTATAGTCACCGTATCACCAGTGTCTGTATAGGGGCTATTGTTGTATGTCCTCAGTATCAGTTATAGTCACCGTATCACCAGTGTCTGTATAGGGGCTATTGTTGTATGTCCTCAGTATCAGTTATAGTCACCGTATCACCAGTGTCTGTATAGGGGCTATTGTTGTATGTCCTCAGTTATCAGTTATCACCAGTGTCACTGTATCAGTTATAGTTATAGTCACGGTATCACCAGTGTCTGTATCGGGGCTATTGTTGTATGTCCTCAGTATCAGTTATTGTAACCATATCACCAGTGTCTGTATAGGGGCTATTATTGTATGTCCTCAGTATCAGTTATAGTCACCGTATCACCAGTGTCTGTATAGGGGCTATTGTTGTATGTCCTCAGTATCAGTTATAGTCACCGTATCACCAGTGTCTGTATGGGAGCTATTGTTGTATGTCCTCAGTATCAGTTATAGTCACAGTATCACCAGTGTCTGTATGGGAGCTATTGTTGTATGTCCTCAGTATCAGTTATAGTCACAGTATCACCAGTGTCTGTATGGGAGCTATTGTTGTATGTCCTCAGTATCAGTTATAGTCAACGTTTCACCAGTGTCTGTATGGGAGCTATTGTTGTATGTCCTCAGTATCAGTTATTATCACCGTATCACCAGTGTCTGTATAGGGGCTATTGTTGTATGTCCTCAGTATCAGTTATAGTCACCGTATCACCAGTGTTTGTATGGGAGCTATTGTTGTATGTCCTCAGTATCAGTTATTGTATCAGTTATAGTCACCGTATCACCAGTGTCTGTATAGGGGCTATTGTTGTATGTCCTCAGTATCAGTTATAGTCACCGTATCACCAGTGTCTGTATAGGGGCTATTGTTGTATGTCCTCAGTATCAGTTACAGTCACCGTATCACCAGTGTCTGTATAGGGGCTATTGTTGTATGTCCTCAGTATCAGTTATAGTCACTATTGTTGTATGTCGTATCACCAGTGTCTGTATTGGGGCTATTGTTGTTTGTCCTCAGTATCAGTTATAGTCACCGTATCACCAGTGTCTGTATGGGAGCTATTGTTGTATGTCCTCAGTATCAGTTATAGTCACCATATCACCAGTGTCTGTATGGGAGCTATTGTTGTATGTCCTCAGTATCAGTTATTGCCACCGTATCACCAGTGTCTGTATCACCAGTGTCTGTATGGGAGCTATTGTTGTATGTCCTCAGCATCAGTTATAGTCACTGTATCAGTTATAGTCACGGTATCTCCAGTGTCTGTATAGGGGCTATTGTTGAATATCCTCAGTATCAGTTATAGTCACCGTATCACCAGTGTCTGTATAGGGGCTATTGTTGTATGTCCTCAGTATCAGTTATAGTCACCGTATCACCAGTGTATGTATAGGGGCTATTGTTGTATGTCCTCAGTATCAGTTATTGTCAACGTATCACCAGTGTCTGTATAGGGGCTATTGTTGTTTGTCCTCAGTATCAGTTATAGTCACCGTATCACCAGTGTCTGTATAGGGGCTATTGTTGTATGTCCTCAGTATCAGTTATTGTCACCGTATCACCAGTGTCTGTATAGGGGCTATTGTTGTATGTCCTCAGTATCAGTTATAGTCACTGTATCACCAGTGTCTGTATAGGGACTATTGTTGTATGTCCTCAGTATCAGTTATTATCACCGTATCACCAGTGTCTGTATAGGGGCTATTGTTGTATGTCCTCAGAATCAGTTATAGTCACTGTATCACCAGTGTCTGTATAGGGGCTATTGTTGTATGTCCTCAGTATCAGTTATAGTCACTGTATCAGTTATAGTCACAGTGTCTGTATAGGGGCTATTGTTGTATGTCCTCAGTATCATTTATAGTCACCGTATCACCAGTGTCTGTATAGGGGCTATTGTTGTATGTCCTCAGTATCAGTTATAGTCACCGTATCACCAGTGTCTGTATAGGGGCTATTGTTGTATGTCCTCAGTATCAGTTATAGTCACCGTATCACCAGTGTCTGTATGGGAGCTATTGTTGTATGTCCTCAGTATCAGTTATAGTCACCGTATCACCAGTGTCTGTATGGGAGCTATTGTTGTATGTCCTCAGTATCAGTTATAGTCACCGTATCACCAGTGTTTGTATGGGAGCTATTGTTGTATGTCCTCAGTATCAGTTATTGTCACTGTATCACCAGTGTCTGTATAGGGGCTATTGTTGTATGTCCTCAGTATCAGTTATAGTCACCTATTGTTGTATGTCCTCAGTATCAGTTATAGTCACGTCACATCAGTTATAGTCACCGTATCACCAGTGTCTGTATAGGGGCTATTGTTGTATGTCCTCAGTATCAGTTATAGTCACCGTATCACCAGTGTTTGTATGGGAGCTATTGTTGTATGTCCTCAGTATCAGTTATTGTCACTGTATCACCAGTGTCTGTATAGGGGCTATTGTTGTATGTCCTCAGTATCAGTTATTGTCAATGTATCACCAGTGTCTGTATAGGGGCTATTGTTGTATGTCCTCAGTATCAGTTATTGTCACCGTATCACCAGTGTCTGTATAGGGGCTATTGTTGTATGTCCTCAGTATCAGTTATAGTCACTGTATCAGTTATAGTCACGGTATCACCAGTGTCTGTATAGGGGCTATTGTTGTATGTCCTCAGTATCAGTTATAGTCACGGTATCACCAGTGTCTGTATAGGGGCTATTGTTGTATGTCCTCAGTATCAGTTATAGTCACATCACCAGTGTCTGTATAGGG